CTGGATCCCTTTACCACTCATCATTGAAGCTATAATAGAGTCAAATCTCCATCCTTAGAAAATGCTGCCAGTGTAAATTTACTGTCGCTCTAAAATAGGTACTTAAACCACGTCAAGCTGTGTTTTTCCCAAAGAAATGACAACTTGGGATATTTTCCTGACTTACAAGGTGGTTAGGCAGTTATTCACTGCAATAATGAAGCAAAGCAGAATAAACTAGTAATATTTACCCAATCACGGCAGAAGAACAGGCGACTTATAAAACTGAAATGTCCATTCAGCTATGTCAGTATTAACAATTTGAAAGAAAAAAAGCACTCTGTTATAAATGAATCCTTTGAGAATGTACAGATAGTAGGGATTTCAAAATGAGATATTAAATTGGTTTAATTCGTTTTAGAGAGTCTTTATCAGCTCACCTGTCACCCATCATTAGCCTGTTGTAGGTGCTCATCCCACGGGGAAAGGCTGAGGTAAGGGATAAAATCTGATCTGTGCCCTAAGGGTTAATCTTGAAATGAGACATAAGAACCAACACTGCTCATTTCTGAATCATCTTCATTAACACGAACACTTAAAAAACCAAAAACATGCCCAAGCAAAGCTTTACCAGTGCAGGAGCCAAAGAAAATAGAACACGGCCACCTGTGCCCCTGCCGAGTGCAAAGCTGGATGGCAACAGACCTCCTACTGCTGAGACAGAGCGCGACCCTTAGCTGAAGGGTTCCTATGTATTTCTAGGAAGTCCTCCGACCACACGTTGAGCATGCTAACTCCACTTTATTTCAGTTGACTGAGGCTAAGAGAGTAACTTTTTTTTGGGAGAGGTTTTCGCCAGACAGAGACAGACATAGAACAGAAAGCGAGAAATCACCCCCCAGGGGGGATGGTCACACCTCAATCCCTTCTCCTCCATTCTCCTCCTGGGATCTTGGGCACGCACGCACACGCGCTCGGCGTGAGTTTTAAGCCACCGGGTCCGGGACGTGAACCGCGGTCGACTACGTAGGAGTCCAGCGACATGGCCATTACGCTAACTGCTGGTTCCCAAGAGAGTAACTTTTAAGTGGCACAGCCAGGATCAACCCAGTAACTGTCTGACTGAAGAGGGCAGATCGCCACTGCCTCTGAGACCGCTTAGTACCATCTAGGAGTGATCACACTATCGTTAATTTCAAGGAAGAAAACAAAAAACTCGTAACCTCAGAAGCTCTACTGAGGATGAGACAAAGAACACGAATAACGTGATAAAAACAGACTCAGAGACAGTAACCTGGCATGTAGTGCACAGACTCTATGAAGGTGGTCAGAAGCCATGATGCCTCTCACAGTAGTTTGGTTAAAGAAAGAGTTCAATTGTAACGTACTGGAGGCTTTGCCGAACTCTTTACCCGGGTCTGTTT